TTTTTTGCCATATTTTACATAATCCAATCTATCCATTCACATACAATTCAGTTGTTCAATCCCATTGAGTGGAGTTATGCAGTCAGCAATGCTATCAGCTCTCCCCTCCCCTCTCCCCCCCTCTTCCTGTACACTCAAGGAACCATTACTCCTGTTACTGTTTCTGAAGGGTTGTCTATCTTGGCTTTCATGTATCAAACTATCTTAATTATACAAACTAATATGCAACAAGTCTAACATGATAATTGAGGTTAAACAAATAAAAACCCTAATAGTAAGGAGAGGGCATCTTAAAGAACTAGGGAATAGTTATGTGTTTCATCAGTGCACCCTGAATTCATCACCCCTCCTGTGTGGCTCTTCTAAGAGGGACTATCCAGTTATCTTACAGGTGGGTTTAACTCTTATCACAATCCATACATACATCAATTGTGTAAAGCACATTTGTACATTCATTGCCCTCCTCATTCTCAAAACATTTGCTCTCCACCTAAGCCCCTGGCATCAGGTCCTCATTTTTTCCCCTCCCTCTCCGCTCGCCTCCCTCCTGAACCCTTGATCATTTATAAATTATTATTTTGTCATATCTTGTCCTGCGGACATCTCCCATCACCCACTTTTCCGCTGTCCGTCCCCCAGGGAGGAGTTCACATGTAGATCCTTGTAATTGGTTCCCCCTTTCCAACCCACCCTCCCTCTACCTTCCCAGTATCGCCACTCATACCACTGGTCCTGAAGGAATCATCTGCCCTGGATTACCTGTGTTTCTGGTTCCTATTTGTACCAGTGTACATCCTCAGGTCTAGCCAGACTTTCAAGGTAGAATTGGGATCATGATAGTGGCTGGGGCGGGGAGCATTTAGGAACTAGAGGAACGTAGTTTTTTTTATTGTTGCTACATCGCACCCTGACTGGCTCGTCTCCTCCCCAATACCCCTCTGTAAGCGGATGTCCAGTGGCCTGCAAATGGGCTTTGGGTCTCCACCTCCTCAGATACTATATCTTTTAATAACTGGGTATTATCAGCTTTCTTCACCACATTTGCTTATGCACTATTTTGTCTTCAGTAATTGTGTCAGGAAGGTATCATACAATGCCACATTATTAGAACAAGTAGTTCTTGTGCTGAGGTAAGAATTAACTAGAGGCCCAGAGTCGATCAGCTTCCTTGTTGCATTTGCATATGTATGTATATATATAAATAAACAAATATACCTATATTTATATAATGTATACCTATGTATTTATTTTTCCTTTCTTCTTCTATCCTCTTTTAATTTTTTCTTTTGTCCTACCCCACTATCATGTTTACACATTGTTCACCTCTTAGTAATTCCTCCCAGAGGCAATTCAATTGCTCGAACATGGCCAGAATATAGCTATACTCTCACCATCAATTTTAGAACCCTTACTGTTCTCCTATACCTGTCATTATTGGCTCCCCACTCCCCACCCCACCCCGTCCGCACCTCCTCCCCTCCCATGCCCACCAGGAACCATTGGTCCTGTCACGGTCTCCGTAGGATTGCCTATTCTGCCTATCTTGTATAGATAAATACCAATAAAAAAAAAGAACATACAGATAGTCACACATCTAACAGGGATCCTGACACAGAGCAGATGAATATCTGTTAAACAGAAAGAAGGACATGTCATAATTCACCAGCCCAGTCCCCTTTCCTTTCAGCCCTCCATATCCTGGATCTGCTTACATAACAACACATACACCCTTGTAGTCTCCAGCCTTCGTGTCTGAAAGGCACACATCCCACAAGTCCCCATTGCTATTCCTGCAGTCAGGGATGGAGCAGTCTCGTGCCACCCTCTCAATCCTCCCGTTACACCTTTGACTTTCAGTGTGGCCCCTTATAAGTAGCCTCCAGCTAGTTCGGAAGGGGTGTCAAGCCCCCAGTCAGGAGTCTACAATCGGGGTTCCTTGGGGACTTTGTGGCTTCCCTCTCATCATTGGTCTGTGGCGCTCCCCTCTTGGTTTGCTCCCCGTGGGCGGGTCAGACCAGCTGCTCCCTGCTCCCTGAGCTATATCTTCAGGGCTGTCCTCTCAGCAGGGACATCAGGTCTCAAGCTAGGGATGGCCCTGCAGTCATCTCTGGGAAAGAGCTGCTCTGAGCAGAAACATCGCCATCAAGGACTGGCACACCAGCATGAGGTCTACTCTTGCTATCCTTTTCCTGTGGAGATACAAACAATGCCCTCCCTTTGGGTGGGTTAGTGCCCCCCCCCCCCCCCCCCACTGCCATTGTTTTTCTTCCCCCACCCTCTGTAGACCTTACAGGCATATGAGAGCTTCGGTGGGGGTGGGGTGGGGGCAGAAGACGCCTTTCAGCACAGGTGCTATCTGCATCTTTTTGTGATGACATATAAATCATTGGGTTTGGTCTGGCTCATGCCAGAGTAGTGGAACCTCAGTCTGGGAATTGTGTGCTGTGTGCATTTTCCCTTATTCCCTTGTTTTGTGAGGGGCACGCCAGGCAAGACTGGGAGGAGGTGGGCTGCTGATGACAAAGGCTGTAAGATGGACGTAAATGTGGAGATGATTGCATGGTTCGTATGAATGTGAATGAACTATTTAAATGTATGTGAAATATATCCCAATAAAAGTTTAAAAAAATAGGTCCTAAAATTTTGCTCCTATATTTTTTCCCAAGAACTTCAAAGTTTAGATTTAACATTTAGATTCTTGATCCATTTTGAGTTCAGTTTTTTTGTTTGCTTGTTTGTATGGTGTGAGGTATGGATCTTACTCCACTTTTTCTGGATAAGTTTTTTACAATGAAATCAAATACAGTAATCTTTACATTATGGTGTAGTAGATATTAGTTGTACTATTTTTCCAACTTGCTTATCTACTAATAATCAATAATAAGATAATATACCAATTCTCCTTAGGTGGTGGTGTTCACAATCCTGCACTACTATACAAAGACTGCTTCTAGTTATGAATGTAACCTCATCCCTCTTGAGAAGATTTCTTGAGGTTGAGCAAGAAAGTAGCTCTGCATGTATTTATAGATTAGGAAAATCATGCCTGCGGTTTGTTGACAAAGCTATGGACGGTAGCAATCAAAGTGACCATTCTTAAAAGGTACCAAGAGCTGTTGTCAACTGCCTAAGTGTCTTTACACTGAATTTAAGACTTGCTTCACATCCAGCACATAACAAACACGAGAGTACTGGGACTGATGTTTCTTCAAGCCGTCAGACTTAAAGGACAGGGCAGAGGGGGAGGAGTGAGGGAGGACAGACAAGAGTTACTGAGCAGTGGGAGAGGCAGGGTAAATTGTTAGGGGGCATGGAGTTCACGCTGACGCATAGCAACCTTATGTCTAACAGACAGAATGTTAGCCACTGCACGTCTAAACTCACTGTTGCAGTCACTGTGTCAAATCCATCTCATTGACAATTTTCTTTTCAATTTCTACCAAACACCAAATTTTCTTGGGAATGGTCCCACCTAATGAAGTCTTGCCATTCTCACTTCTAAGGAGGAGTCTTCCAAGACAATTACAGGGGCAAAATTTTGACATTATCCACTTGTAGTAATATAACAGAAATAGCTTCCTCATACTCACTAATGGATACCACACAAACATGCTCTCATTTATTTATTTATTCATGTTCATAGGCCTGGAGTCAAGGGTATATTTACATAATTAAACACATATATTTTGAAAGCACAGATAAATTATCTCCTATATCATAATTTTGTCTATAAAATGACCTAAAAAATAAAATCTATGAATTGCAAGTGTTTTGCATGTCTATATTATTCGATTTTAAAAGTCTATTGAACCTGAAAACCTAATTTTTCTTAGGCACCAAAGGCAAGCCAGTTTTGGCTTTATTTTCTTTCTAAAAATTAAATGTATTGAAATATGAGACCTGGAATTATTAATTAACAAATTAATAGTTACAAATTGGAAGTCTAGATGAGGAGTTTAAAAGATTATACTGGGGAAAATACCTAAGGTAGATGCAAATTAGTTTTTAAAATCATCTTAACATGCAAACAGATAGTTGGAGAAGGCGATTATACAATGAACATGTAACATGTACTCTAGAGCTCAATACGGGAATTCTAATTTCACTCTATCTTCTATTTTTGCGCTTAATATCCCAATATCTGTATCTTTAGTCCAATAACTTTGTGTGGATGCACAGACAGAATGGGCAATGGTATGATTCTTACCTCAAAGACTCAATGTAAGTTAAGAAAAAAACACTGGGCTTGGAGTCAGAAGGGTATGCTGTACCTCGATTCTGTCATTAAATAGCTTAGTGACACTGAAGACAAAATCGAAAAAGAAAAAAACTTCAAAGTCATTGAGTTGATGCCAACTATAGCAACCCTATAGCACAGGGTAGAACTTCCCCCATGCGTTTCGGAGACTATAACATTTTTCAAAAATCATTTTATTGGCGGTGGAGACTGTAACTCTTTATGGGAATATAAAGCCCAGTCTTTCTCCCTTGGAGAGGCTGGTGGTTTCGAACTGCTAACTGTTCAGATAGCAGCACACGTGTAACCACTACGCCATCAGAGTTCCTGGAGACAGGTAGACTCTTAATCAAGATTTAAATTGTTTTTTGTCTATGAATTTAAAAATAAGAGATACCTGAGCTAGAGCACGTGTAAGGTTCTTTCTAGCTCCAATTACCACCAAGTTTTCTTTTCTGCCACATAATCTCTAGCACAAAGCCATCTTGGTGTTCAGGGCATCCTGGAACTCTCTGTTGTGCTTCTTTTTGATTGGTGACAGATGACTTGTGGGACTATGAGGATGTATCAACACATACTAGGGAGCAGATAATGAAGCTGGCTGTCTTGGTGAATGCATGAGATTCAAAACCAACTCACTGGCCCTAAGTAGAGGTCAACTCATAGCAACCCTATAGGACAGAGTAGAACTGCTCCTGTGGGTTTCCTAAACTGTAACTCTTTACGGGAGTAGAAAATCTCCTCTTTCTTCCATAAAGGAGCCTGTGGCTTAGAATTGCTAACCTTGTGGTTAGCAGTCCAACAAAAAAACCACTGCACCACAGGCCTCCTATGGGGAAACATTGTCCTGTTTCTCCTGGGAGGGTTACTTGGGTACAAAGACTTTGAGTAAACCTAGAGTGTGTGGTTGCTTGCAAGTGTTAGGAGAACTGAACACACATGTTGAGTGATGGGGAGATTCCTTGTTGCAAAGAGAAGGGACTCCCCCAGGTCAGGATGTTTGTTAGTTATGAACCATGAGACCATCTTGAGCCTGAAGTTGTTGTGCCCTAGAACAGCCCCCGAGTTTAAACTCTACTTGTAAACTCCCTCCTTTGGGAGGTTTTACAATAAAACCCAGTGAGCAGAGAAGCTCGAGAGGTCTTATCTCTTATGAGTACCTCTGTCTTTCCCTCATGACTCAATCTCCTGTCTTGAGCAGTTATTCCGTGTGTCTCAGGAGCTCCCAGCTGGCAACTACATGAGAGATTAGAGGGAAGGAATGATAGATCTCCTTGACATGTCCCTAACTCGAAGTTATATAGGAATGGAAAGGAGGTCATTTCACTGAACTCGAGGGAATTAGTCATGCATGCTGAAAATGGCAAAAGCTCCTTCTATATTGGTCTTTTTAGCCATGTCTGCAGAAACAAAGATTCAATTTTCCATGCTAACTTTTTTCAGGATAGAAGTTCTGCTAAATGCATGATCAATTCTTAGATACTGGCTTAGGAACCAAGAATCTATAGAGAATTGTGATGCATGGATAAAGATAGGATCACAGAAGATATTTATTTGCTATATTATTACCGTTAATTACATCGCCTATTTTTCCAAGTACTTTCACATACTCTGGATCTCACTCCCACAAGTCTGAAAGGTACTGAGGGCAGGTATTGATGTTCGCAGATTAGGGATGAGGCATCTGAGCTTCAGGAATGGCAGCTTTGGTGTCAAAAGTCAGATGTGTATATAATGGTTAGGCTCAGGCATTCTACCCATGCTTCCTGCACTCCTTTTGAAATGTCCCCAGGCCACGTGACAAGGCATGGTGCTGATGACACTGACCTGCAGGTGTACATGCCACATCTCTATTCTCAGAACAGCTGATACGGATGCTCTCACTCTGGCCTCTTGAATCAGCTACCTGCCAGCCTCTGAGACTCAGTGCTGTTAATGGATAATGCAGCAGACTTGTAAAAATGTGCTCACAGTATGACACAAATGCAATTTTCACAAACACCTAGTTCCGGAGAGGATTTGATAGTACGCTGGCCTCAATTAACGTCCTGCCTACACACACCCATAAGGCAACCCTGGCCATCATGGCTTGCAGGACATGACTAAAGAAGCACGTTTCAAGTTTTCTTCTCTTTTAAGAAAACTGCCAGGTCCATTCGAAAGGGTCACCCACACTGCTGTTTACAATGTAATGCACCCGATGCTTCTCCTGTTCCAAAACTGTCAGGGCAACTCTACAGTGTATCATGTATCACTAACCATGTATCCGGCATCCTCTTTCTTTTCAACATTTCCTTTGGCTTTTTTAAAAAAATCATTTTATTAGGAGCTCATACAGCTTTTTTTTTTTTTT